CCAATACCAACGTGTGACCCCCTAACATGATTGTCGTCATAGAGGAAGCGGGCGGGAAGGAGACAAGACAATCGTCCGAGTTTTTGTAGTCTCATCCCCTTCTAGTCCTTAGTTATGTATATTCAGTATACTGTATAATAAACCCCCAAGCCCATGGTGTTGTTATCAAGGCCTCATCCACAGGGTTAAGTTTAGGGTCTTGGGATTCCCGCAAAGCAAACTAGGCCCCCCGAGCATGGCGACTCATGGGCTGAGGTCTCCTTTGGAAGTGATACCGCGAGCAACAAGAACAGCTAGTCCTCGTATGTGATTTAGTCGGATATAGTATTCCCCCGCACATTTAGATAGAAAGATCCCCAACCATTGAGCCCCGCATACATAGATATACTGATATACTTGGGAATATACACAGAGATGTTTGTAAGATGTGCGTACTTATGTGTGCAATACCAAACACTAGAGTTCTGTCTGCAAAAAAAGGAGCAACGCCTATGTTTTTCGGGTTTTTACGCTTTGTGGGTTCAGGTTTTTAGGTTTTTTCTTTTACATGTTCGTTTGCAGGAGCGCCAGAGAACTTGGTGATCCTCTTCCGCAGGGCCAGTTACCTCGTGGTGGTGCGATATGAGCAGGCAAGACGCCGCCTCCTGAGCGGCCGAAACGCAACCTTCAAACAGAAACTTGCAAGTCTTTGCCCCCAAAATCCTGTAGAGTTCCAGTCTAAACGAACACCCAAAAGCGGAAAACCATAAAGCCTGTCCTAAGCTCCAATCCAACCCGGAGTCCGGAGCTTCTAGGCCCACGCACCCGAGCCACCTCAGCTGTAGTATAACATGCAGAAGGCCAGTTCCACCTTTCCCGAGGCTTGTTTCTCCAAGATGACCCCCCAGTGATTCCTTTGTACCCCTTCTATCTTGGGGAGTCTTGTGGTGAAGTTGCTGAAGTTGCTGTGGCTCGGTTATTGCTGTGACTACAGGAAGCAGGAGCAGCAGCTGCTCCTGGTGGGTTGTGGTTCTGCATCGGTTCTTGAGTCTGAGATCTGCCCCATTCTAGTCGCAACCTGAGCCCGAAGCTTAAACCTGATCATTGCCTACGAAGCAACCCTGACGGCTCACGGGCTTGCCTGACACCAGAAAGAACATCTCCTCTTCAACTTCCGAAGCCCAAAGAAAGCGGGAGAGCTTTTTTTCTTTTTGTTCCTAAGCACTAAAACCTAAACCCCCCAAACCCTAAACCCTTAAGCCTTAGCTCTTTGTCGTTCGCCGCTATTTTTGTTGCCTTTTTTGCTGCTGCCGCTGTTGTTGATGATTCCGGCAGACGAACCTGGTCGTCATCTTGTGAGATCCTCCAAAGCAGCAATGTTGGCATAGCCGCGGTTGAGGGTTTAGGGTTTAGGCTGCCGCAACGGCGATTGATTACTGAAGCCACCACGCAGCGAGTCCTTGTAGTGGAAGTTATCATATCAAGACGATGAGCATTGGATGAGGGATTTGGAGACATGCTGAGCTCACTAAACCCCTTTGCAGGCCCTCGGAAGCATACAGACCTGCGGTCAGCATCTGCTGATCTCCTCAGCCGTGGGGAGCCCGGCTTCGGGTTCCTTCCTCAAAGTCTGACAGATCCATCAAAGAGTGTGGGGGTCTCAAAAACTGCAACATGGAGGCCGGCAGACGCAACGAAAGGCCCCGAATCTCAGAAGGCAGTCGTGACGGGAAGCCCAAGCCAAGCTCCAAGACTCTCCCGGTGTTTAGGATTGTGCTCGTTGTTGAGCCCCCAAGTAAAATAGCAGCACTTGTTTGATAGAATCTTTTGCTGGGCAAGCCTTGCAAGGATCATCATCGGCAATGCACAAAGATATATTGAAATGATATTTCCTGCCAGTCCCTGTATGTGTATACTAGAGAAACATCCCAACCCCCCGCTTTCATGATTCGACCATACAAAAAACTCGATACTACATCCCCACAAGCGCCCGCTGTCGATCTATACGTACCCTTCCGGCTCACAGCTTGGCTCCTCTCAGCTCGTGCCTTGAAGGTATCATGACTACCGGTACTAGGGTTTAAGTTTAAGGGAATGGGGGATCAGGGTTCAGTGCAGAAGTTCGGTGAAAAAAGTGGGGATGTCGATGTTCATCTGGCAGCTTGTGGCTTTCCTTGCTGGACGTGGTGCGGCAAAGTCTTTCTCCGGCCTCGAGACCAGCTACCGTTTCGCACAGCTGACGGATGTTCACATCGAGCCCTTCTACAACCCGGAGCGCGGCCATTTGAAGGGTGGCGTCTGCCGCGTTCCTGAGGCTTTCAATAAGTCCAGCTGTGTGCCCTTCAAGGCCAGTTGTCTAAAATCCCTTCTTCATCTCATCCCCTTAATATTAAGCCACCCCCCATAGAAACTTAACATGCTTGGTTGATCAACGGGGTGTGTGATCTCCATTGTCACTTTGGCGGATCTTTCTTTCTCCTGCTCCTGCTCTTGCTCCTGAAGCCCTTTATCCATTGAAGGGCGGGGGTGTTGTAGGGGTTGTTGAATCAAGGGACCCACGTGATTCCCACAAGTTCCTTTTCTTCGGGTCGGGGCCTCCCGACAGGTGGAGCCTGAAGCAGCGACCTACCCTTTGGGAAGGCTGAACTGTGATCCTCCCTTCGCTTTGCTCCGATCGGTGCTCGAGCACATGGCGCACGTTGCTGAGACGGAGAAGCCTGACTTCGTGATGTTCACTGGAGACATCCCCAGCCATCAGCTGTCATGTCAGTTCCATCAAGCACGTACTATCGAGATGGTCATAGAGATGATGGCGGATAAGTTGAAGAAAGTGGCACCTACATGGTTCCCAGCCATGGGTAACAATGACTATTTCCCAAACTACAACGTGTCTATGGAGCCAAACAGCCCCTGGCAGCAGTTCGTGGCCTCCATCTACGCACGCGAAGGAGTGCTCAGCGGTGAGCAGCTGAAGACCTTTGCAGCGGGAGGCTACTACTCCGCCTCCCCTCGCCCAGGACTTAAGGTGATTGTGCTCAACACAGTGGTTTGGAGTCAGAAGGTTCTGGATTGGAATGCTGCTCCGAAGAAGCATGTGCATCATCATCAGGACGGAACCTTAAACCCTAAACCCGAAAGCCAGAATCCTACACGCTGGGCCCTGAAGCCAAAACCCAAAATCCGGCACGCTGCTGCATCATCATCATCATCATCATCATCATCGTCATGAGGACGTCTCTGAGGCGAACCTGTACCATGGCCCGGATGCTCCCCTTGAGGGTTCGGACACCAGCGGCTGGGTATGGGATGAGGATGTGGCGAGCAAGAAGCTCCCTCGCCGCGTTCATACACCCCCAAAAAGCCTCCCAAAGCTGTAATCAGTGAACCAGGGTTTAGGGCTTAGGGTTCAGGGTAGCCCTGAACCCCTAAACCGCCTAAACCCCCAAAAAACCCCAACACACGCACACTGGGAAGCCCTAAGCCCTAAGCACACCGAGGATCTTCGTCGATTGCGACGCGCGTCCTGCGGACCCGTACGGGCAGCTTGCCTGGGCACGGCAGGACTTTGGGGCTTAGGGTGTAGGGCTGGCGGGTTCGGGATTCACGGTTTAGGGTCCCCTTAAAACGGGTTCTTGGGTTCCAAGCCAGATCTACAGGGGTTCTAGAATCTAGAAGCCTTCCTGTGGTGCTTGGGGCTTAGGGTGCAGGGCTTGGGGATTAGGGCTCAGGGTATAGAGTTTCGGGGCTGGAGAGCAAAACGTAAACCTGTAGACACGGTGTCTAGACCTAGGTATGCCTAAACACCCAAACCCCAAAACCCAGACCCGAAGCCCAAAACCCTCAGTCCTTTCAGGAGCTCCTAAGAGCGCGTAGCTCGGGACAGCGCGTCATCGTCGCAGGGCACGTGCCGCCCGGGAACAAGGCAACGGGCGGGGACTTTGGGGTTTGGGATCCAAACAGTCTCTCTAGAAGATGTTCTCTGAAGTCCCGGTTTAAGCTGTTTACAGGGTGGGATTTGGAGGTTGTGGGGTGCAGGGTTGCGTGCATATGGAGGCCTAGTTTAGGATCATTTTCCTTGCCAGGCCGAATACTACTAGGATCCTTCTCCCGTTCTTCGTTCAGGAAGGTGCGCTTACTATTGAAGGATCTGTGGTGGTATTGTGGTTGATATCAAACTAGTCAGTATCATATGCAGAGTTAATGATTCTTGTGGTTATTGTCAACACTCCCAAATCAAAACTTCAGGCCCTGACCCTCAACCCTAATCCCTGAACAAAACGCTCTCGTGCACCCGTCCAGGTTGGAAGCAACAACTTCTGCCAACAGCATCTGGATGACTTCAAACACCTTACGCAGGACTTTGCAGACATCATCGAGGCTGGAATTCGACAACCACCAGCTTCTTTTTCACGGTAATGCTGATTGTTGCTAGGGTTTAGGGTTTATTGTTCCCATGATTCCCTCCATCGCTACCATTCACAGGATGATAAACAGCGATTTCGCCGTTTCTGCAATCCCGAATCCAGAGTTCCAACTGCTAATCAGTGAATGTTTGGCACTTTCCGTAGTTCGCAACACATCCGACTTCGAAACTCTGCACCTGGCATTTGAGGCTTCGAGAGGCAACAAGAGGCTGCACGAAAAGCCGCAAAAGTCGATCTTCCACTGTCAGCCACCCAAAAGTATCTAGACTCTTCCTCACTAGGATAAGTTGGGTACAATATTGCCCAAACCCAATTCTACATCTTGAGACATCCTTGCTCTCGGTCTCAACTCCCCGCTCTTGCTGTGCAGGTACAGCTCTATGGAGATCATTCCAACGACGAGTTTCGCATGGCCTGGGGTTTGCAAAGTGGGATGATTGGGCTTGTGAGTGTCGAGCCTAGTGGGTAGTCGCTTAGCGCCGATCATGATCTCTAAGCTCTAGGATATTGGTGGCCTTGCATAAAGCTTGTATTGAGAGCTGGGCTGTCGAAGGGATAACAGAATTGAGGGTCAATTCTCGCTTGCGACAAGGGTTACTGCAAGGTCACCGTCAAGGTTACTGTCACTTTCGCTATCCGGACTACTGTAAAGTTACTATAAGGTTACAAGACTTCACATAGTTGAGCCCTCAACCCGAAATTCTAGACCCTAAACTCGAAATCCTTTTTCTGTCTGCTGACATGGCGAAAGCTTCCGATTTCTCCGTGCGAGGTTTGGGAGGAGACCCCGCGTCCACGAGCTGTATCCTCCATCTTGGTGAGTGCAGGCATGAAGTCCTAAACCCTCAAACTTAAACCCTACACCCTAAACCCTAAAACCTAAACCCTAAACCCTAAAACCTAAACCCTAAACCCGAAACCCTATAAAGGAATCCTAAGTTCATTTAAGCCGCGGGTTAGGGTTTAGGGTTTCAGGGGGCTTGCGTTTGGGGTTTAGGGTTTAGGGGGTTTTCTCTCAGCCTTTCCGTTGCCCCAGGCGTGACACCGCGGAAGCACTGCAACCCCTCTTGGAGGACCATACTCTGGGGTGTGGAGACCCTAAGAAGGGAGCTCAAGTTTTCATGGAGTTGAAGATAGTTTAAGGGTTCTATATGGTGTTGGTTTCTTTGTTTTATCTGGGTTTCAGAGGGGTCTAGAAGGGTGTGATAAGCGGGCCTTGATAATCCGGGCAGGGTGTTGGGGTATGTTGCAGTGTATAGAGGGACGATAAGCGGATACTCTTCCTGGTTCTTCGGCCCTCTGTACAAGGGCTCGGGCCTTGCAGTCTCGGGGTGTCGCAGATTGACTTTAGGACTTACTGTTGATGATATAAATCCTGCAGTACCTCAAGGACCCTAAACTATGGGAGTCATGTTCTATTCCTTCTCACGGGTACTGCACTCATATCCTCAACCGAAGGATGTTCGAGGTCTCCAAAGAGCACCAGGTCTCTGACTTCTCCCAGTACTTCCTACGCTTGGCGGAGCCTTGCCCCACCAAAGCGGAGGTTTTGAGATCTTAAGCCTCGAAGTCCTAGACTCCTAAACCGCCTCAACCCTACGCCCTCGAACCGCAACCCTAAGAAAAAAACACCCTAAACCCTTGACCCCAAACCGCAATTTGTCGGTTCTTATGGTGAAAGTCCAATGGATTTATTTTGTGTCTCTTGTCAGGTTCAGGATTTAGGATCTCTGCCGGGAGCATCGATAGTAAGGCCCCAATGTCGCCAAGTTTTTCGAGTGTGTTCATGTTGAAATGGGGGTTTCCGAAAATAGGGGACCCTAATATAGTACCCTAAATAGCAGGATCCTTATTATAAGGACCCCCAAATTAAGGTACTCTAATTTTAAGGATACCGACATCCAGCTGAACATGGACAGCCGCTGGGAGAAGCTGCACCGGCTGGGAAGGGACGAGGAGGTCTCCTGGAAGTTCTGGCAGAAGCAGAGCCTTGACCGGCTTCAGCTGGTTTACGACTTAGGCTTTAGGGCTGTTCAGGGTTTAGGGTTGTTTAGGGTTTAGGGTTGTTTAGGGTTTAGGGTTATTTGTTACACCTGAATCCCGGAAGGGGGCCGAAGAGGTGAAGGAGACTGGTGTGTTTCGGCTTCGGCTGTCCGATATCAGATTCCTACCTCCACTGTTCAGGGCCCTGGGTCCGCGGCTGACCAAAAGCAGAACTTCTGAACCCTAAGCCCTAAAGCCGAAGCCTCAAACCCTGAACCCTGCCCCTACTACTACTTCTACAGCAGCAGCAACAACGACAACAACTACTACACCTAGACCTACTACTACTTCTCCTCCTCCTGCTGCTGCTACTACTACTACTACTACTGCTGCTACTACTACTACTACTACCACCACCACCACCACTAGTACGACGACGACGACGACTACCACTACTGCTATTCCCCTTCCACCACTCCTTGTGCCACTTCTCACACTTCTACCGCTGCCACTGCTACTCCCTCCCCAGGTATTCCTTCCGCGACCAGTACGGCGTGGGCCTGGATCCGGAAGAGCTTCAGGAGCCACAAAACAGGGCAGGGGGGGGGGGGAAAAGGGGGCCCGACGTTTCGACTCCCTGGAGATCTGCATAATGCTGTTGCTTTGGAGGTTTGGAGTTTCGAGCTTGGGCTTCCTTAACTAAGGGGTTGGAGGTTTGCGATTGGTGCTTAGGGGTTCGCAGGGTTCGGGATTTAGGGCGGAGGGTTTGGTACCACTTCCAGTGTCCAGCGTAGACCACGGCTTTGGCTAACGTCGATTCGTCGGGTTCATTTTTGTTTGTAGCCTTGCATCGCAGGTGTGGCGTTTGGGGACTAGGGGTATGGGGTTGGGGGATATGGACGAAGGACTAATTAAGTAGTCCAGTATTAGTTGAATACGAGGGAGTTGAATGACCCTAAACCCTTTTTCTTTGTGAAATCGTTGTTATGAGTGAGCGGTCCGTCAATATCAACAGAAAACCTTCCAAGAGGAGCTGTGGATGGCACTGCAGAGAGACCCGGGCCTCCTGCGCACTTACGTGAGCCACATGTTCTCTCAGACCGTAGGCTCGACCTCGACGTGTGTGTGTGTGTCCCTGAACCCTACACGCTAAACCCTAGGCCCCTAAACCCATACCTGTTTAGCGTTTAGGGTTTGGGGTTTTGGGAATGTATGTAGTACTCGGATTGCGAAATACCCGGTTATGTATCATCATCATCATCATCATCACCATCAGCATCATCGCATCATCATCTTCGTCGTCACCATCATCATCATCATCATCACCGCCGCCACCACCACCACCACCATCATCATCATCATCACCACAATCTTTAATCAGCACCATCGCCATCATCATCATCATCATCATCATCAGCATCATCATCATAATCATAATCATCATCATCATCACCATCTGCAGCAGCATCTGCATCTGCAGCAGCATATGCACCATCATCATCACCAGCACGATCACCATCATCAGCAGCAGCATCATCATCACCATGGTCGTATGATTGCCAAGCCTGCTTGCATCTTTGTTCGTTTTTCGGTTGTTGATGGGTCTGCGCCGCTGTTGCTGAACACTTGACCTCATCCAAGGTTGTTGTTCAGAGTTTTTGTCGTCTTGCTTCTCGAGCTTCGGGCTATCCTGGATTCAGTGTTTGCTGCACAGGCAACTACGATTACTTCGACTACATCTGCGACATGCGCTACCTCTCGGAGGAGTATGTTAGCTATTGATACGTATACGTATGTATCGTCATAAATATTACTAGTACAATCCCCTTCGGAGGAGAAGAACGACGCTTGCTCGGCTCGGGGAGCTCTCCTGGAAAGCCCCCCTCCGCTTGAGCTACGACGTGCCATCGGGCCGACATCGCTGCTATCATCGATTTGGCCTCGCTGTTTGTTGAAGCATTGCTAAGGTACTATCGTCAACTAAGAGCTCAAAGCAGTAGTTTGAGTTTGAAGAGTGTTTTTGCATCCAGACAGGTCAGACGCCGAAGTTGCAGAGACCTACGGCAGCATGCGCCTGGCCGTCTTGGGTGCCAGCCTAACCCTCAACTTGCTGCTGGGCTCCGTCGTCCTGCTGATGGTTCGAAGGCGGAGGCGGGAGGAGGCGGCCTCCTACGTCGCCTTGCCGTGACGCCTGGTTTCATGTTCCATGTGCAGTATGACTCAGAAAAAAGGAGTGCGCCCTCTCTGCTTTGTAAAGCATTCGGAACGATTTGATGAGCAAGTTCCCGATCTTACTTCGGATGCCTCGGGTTTCGACTTTGCCCGAGGGCGTCCGGGTTGGCCTAGGGCACAGGGTGGAGGGTTCAGTGTTTGGGCTTGGGGTTTAGGGCACGGTTTAGGGCCTAAGGATTCGGGCTTTGTTGTTTTGACGGTTTCGGGTTTAGGGGTTTAAAGGCTAAAGCCCTAAACCCTCAAACCCTAAACCCTAAAACCCTAAACCCTTTTAGGGTTTAAGGTTTGTTTGAGGAGCTTATACGGCTTCGAGGGGGGGGGGCGTCGACCTACAAGGCCTGTAGCTCCAAACGGAAGGGAGACTCGTCACTTGGGATGTCTTCGGGGCCAGCTGAATTGGGTTTGGGCTTCGGTACCTGAGCTCGCAAGCCGGCCTTACACGATTCGCATGGGATTATTTGGGGTGTGTATTTCTGCTATAGATTTGCTAAAAAATTGTATGGGTGGTCCCGGAGCGTCTTCAAGTCTCCGGTCGAATGGTTGGGAACCAAACCCTACACCCTGAAATCCGGGTTCAAGCATAAAACCGAAAACCCCAACGTCTAAACCCTAAACCCTTGAACCCCTAAACCCTCAAAGCCTCGGTGCTATAGCTGTGGCTGAGGACACGGCTGCGGCGGTGCTGCGGGAAGGCTTCCAGCCGAAGGTGGGAAGTTTCCTTGCTTTTGGAGCTCTGAAGACTTAGCAACAATATCTCCTTATCGTCCCTGTACAAGTATACCTACCCCATGCCGAACTCAGATAAATGCTCAGGGCTTGCGTCTTTTGGTGGAAGTCGGTTTCCCTGGGAGCTTCAAGGTAAAGGGTCCTACTTTCCTTTGCTCCAGGGTTTGAGGGCTTTGGCTTTCCGGATTCAGGGTATCTCAAAGATTGATGTTCTCAGGTTCAGGGGTTGGGGGTTTATGGCTTTAGGGCCTTTAGGGTTTCTGGTTGAGGGTTATATTATTATATCGTACGTAGAATCCTTATCATGGAAGGATGGTTGTTCATAGGTGGGTGGTGGGGGGGGGGGGGTAGAACTTGGTCTTCCTGTCCTAGGCTACTTGTCGAAAGCTTCACGCCAAGCCTGAAACACTCACTACTCGATATGATTGTTTTTCCAACGACTTGGAACTCCGGGTCAGATAAAGCCTTTGTGCCGAGCCCTAGATTTTGAGGTTAGGGGGTTCGCAATGATGTTTCCAAGCCTAGCCCTTTGCAGAACTAGCCATGAAGTCCGACACCATGCAGCAACCCTCAACCCGAAATGTCGTAATTTGCAGGCCTTCAAACCTAAACCGGAAACCTTGAAGCCTTTGACCTCGAGGCCTGCCATATAGCCCTAAATAAGTAGCAATATGATTCTTCAGGGTTCCTCAGTACCCCAAAACCCTTCTCCCATGATTCAGGCCCTCAGATTACCTCAAAGCGTATTCCGTCCTCGGATTGTAATTTGAGTCCTTGGCTGCCGGAGTTCAGGTCGCTGTAGATCCTGAGCAGCGGTGCCCCTGCCCCGGATGGATGGATGGAGTTGAAATTAGGGTCCCTTACTAGGTACCCAAAAGAGTGCGGCACCCTTATAGCAAAGGACCCTGAAAGGGACCCTAAACTTAGAGAACTACCCAAAAACTATATTTTCTTTATTCACATCTCTACTTACTGAGTCCACTGATGCTTTAAGTAGGTCGTAGTCGAATGTTAAGCACTAGCGGTAGCCCCAAACAGCAATCACCGCAACTTTAGTACACCAAGCAGCATGGTAAACCGTAGTTGCACCAGTGGCACCTCTTGTAGAGCATTGGGCCTAGAACGTAACACCCTGCACCCTAAGCCTCCAAGCAACCCCCGAATCTACACCCTAAACCCCAGCACCCAAAAAACCTAGGCCCCACAAAGCCCAAAAGACCTTTAGCCTTCATCATCCCTGGATCCTGTTTCTCTAAGCCCTGATCTTCTCCAAACCCTAAACCCTAGGCCTCAAAGCCGGCACCCGACATGCCAAGGCTTCCAATCCTGCTTGAAGGGTCAGGCGACTTAGTAGGTAGGTGTAGGTGGAATGGGGATTGCCAGGGGGATTTTTTGAGGGTTTGTTGAAGGGTTGGGGCTTCGAGTTTTTGGGTTTGCCAAAGGATCAGGGGGTCAGAAGTACCCTAGTTGGGGTGGGTTAGGGCCTTATTTGGGGTGCAAGTTAGCTTTACATGTAACTCCATTTCCGGAGCCCCCCTAAAGTCTCAAGCCTAAGTTCAACTTTAGGCTTCAAACCTCTTCGTCCTTGAGGTCTGTTGGTGCATAGCCTGCCTGAGCGCCTCACCGTGTTCCCTTGCGGCTCATCGGCCGTCCTGCGTGGATGCCTCAGACTGCCAGATCGAAAACCGGTTCGACGAGGGTTTTCCTTCGGGGTTCTGTATCGCTGCTGTAAGAGTTCGGAGATTTTAGGGTTTAGTTTAATTGAGGATTCCAGGCTGTAGGGCCTCCGAGAGTGGGGTCTGGGTTAAAGGCGGATCAGGGCTACGTGTAGTCTCGTCTTCCAAGGTGCTGAATAGTTGTTCATAGTATATCTTGGAGTTCTATCTTAAAGCGCCGCCATGCCCCACCCAACTATCACGGCAGGTAGGTAGATTTCTTACCCATGCAAGCCTTCGCTAGGATCTTTTGATGGAGCTCTGCTTATCAGGAAATCTGAAATTCTTAGTGACAGCTTGTCAGGCCAAACCACCCTAAATCCTGAACCCTAAACCCTAAACCCTACATGCGAAGCCCTATCTGCAACCTTGAGCTTTGCCAGGGCGGGACTCCGTGCAGCTGATGGGTGCGCTGCAGTTTAGCCAGGCGCGCCCCCTGCAGACCGCCAGTTCGGCTACGTTCAGTTCTTTGAGTCTTTGAGTTTAAAACTTGAGGGTTTAGGGTGTAGGGCTTTGAGATTAAGATTTTTTGGGGAGGTGGAGGTTTGGGAGTGTAGGGGTCAGGGCTTGGGTTTTAGGGTTCCGGCTTTGGGGCGGTGACGGCCTACACACTCCCGGGTTCCACAAGGAACGGAAGACTGGAAATTGAGGATTTATGACGCTTTTGCGGCTTTGCAGGTGGGGTTTAGGGCTTTAGCAATAAGGGGCGGGGGTATGCCGTAGTAAGCTCAAGAAATGAGGGGCCAGGGCGCCAACTGCAAATCAGGTTCTGACTGAATCTTGAAGCGCGATCACTCAAACCCTCGGCCTGAAAACTTAACTCCTGGATCCTAAAATCAGGGTTTAGGGTTTAGGGGTTCAGGGTATGGGAGTTTAGGGTTTAGGGGTTTGGGGTTTGGGGGTTTAGTTTTTTTTTCTTTTTTCCGGGACCCCGGAATCGTCGGCTCCTCGTCAGGATTCGGAGCAGCCGAGTGGGCTGAAAGCCCCGTACAACATGCAGGCGGAACGCCGGGGGGGTTTAGGAGCTCCTTAGGGGCTCCTTAGGGTTTGGGAGCTCCTTCGGATGTCAGTTCTTTTTTTTTGGGTTTCTTCGGATACTAGGCCTGGTCTACTTACAATGAAGAAGCCGCCGTTTCAGGGTTTGCTGTGCGTTCGACGCTACGTGCATCTACGTGGTTCAGAAGCAAACCCTGGAGCCGCGTAGAAAATCTGATGCGGAAGCCTCGTGGAAGGCTTTTCGGCTCTTATTCTAGCGCCGAAGAAGAGCGCCAAGCGGAAGAACTCCTGCATAGTGCTAAGTGTTGTTGAATGAGCATCCAAAGCGCCGAAGATCAAAGACATGCCTTGAACACCCTTCACCCCACAACCCTGAACTAGGCCCTAAAAACCCCAAGCTCATACCCTCAAGCCCTAAACCCTAAACCCGAAACCCTAAACCCCAAGCTCTCAACCCTAAACCCCTTTCCCTCAAAAAAAACCCTAAACCCCGAATCCTTGGCTTGAGGTCCAAGGGGTCCCTGACACCGGGTCCTAGGTTCCCCAGCAGTACCCTTCTTCTGACCAAATAGTAGGAACAAGGGTACAGTAACCCTGAAACCCTAAACCCAAAACCCCGAAACCCGAAACCCGAAACCCTAAACCCAAAAACCCTAAACCAAAAACCCTTATGTTATTAGGGGGCTTCTGGGGAACCTTAGGGTCTCGAAAGTGCGTCGACGAACTAACGGCTGCAGTTTGAGAAGCTTCCCCTTCCGGGTTTTCGATGCGCGGAGGGGTCCGAGGTTTGGAGTATGGTATGGGGTGCGGGGTGTGGTGCTGGAAGCATTCTGGGCTTTAGGATTGAATTAGGGCCTCGGATTTTAGGATTCAGCTTTGAGCCCTGCTCATGCTAGGGTCGGGCGATCTAGTCGTCGACAGGTACTAAGAGACGAAAGGTCTCTGAAGCCTCATGGGTAGTTCCCTAAGTTAAGTTAGGGTTTCTTCTAAAACCCTTTTTGTAAGGGTGCCGTATTACCGTCTTTGTTTTCGGGATCTATATAGGGACCTGAATCAGAGAATTACCCTCATTCTGTAGATCCATTCATCTCTTTCCCACAGAAAGACCCTGCACTTCGACCATGAAAGCCATTCGAAGCCAATCCATCCGAAACGATACTAGACCGATACAGTACTTCGTGTTGTCTATGCCTCACCATGATGAGACTTTCTTGCGATTAGGGGTAGCTTCTGTCGGGGTACTTGGAACAAAGATTCCACTATTTAGGCCATGTTTTGAAAGCCGGATTCTGAAAGGCTCATATGCAACATGCCCCGGAAGCACTGATCAGGCGTGGTCGCAGCTGCGGATGCATCATGCCAGACTCTGAGTGAACATTGAAGTCCCGGGGGGGTCGCATCATTGAGACGATGCAGCTGCGTTCCAGTACCTTTCTTGCTCTTAGTCTAGGGGTCTGAAAAGTTGGGAAGTTAATGCTGGTCCCTCATTGTCCCCATATAGTTATAGTACAGTGCACCC